TATTTTAATTTATCAATACAGATACCCTCACAATTATGCCAGAGGAGTTTATTTGATTTGTATTGTTTTTTTTACATATTGATTTTCGTTGTGGAGAGTTCTATAGCTCCCTAAATTCCCATTATTCATAATGAATACTCTTATAAGCCGATAAATAGGGGAAAGTTAAGTCTTATAATGCAGTGCTTATAAAAATGCAGTGCTTATAAAAATGCATATTCTTATAAAAATGTATATTTTTATAATATTGTAAATATGCTTTGGACACGTCACGTCATTGACCCAGGGCCCTATAAAATCAGTCTTATGTTTTGGTCAATTCCATTTTCCAGGTTTCCGTTTTCTTATTTTTTTCAGGTTTTCACTCTCAAAATCACACTTTCTTTAATAGAAAAACTACAAAAATTGGATGTTCTAAGTCCTCAACAATGCTTAAATCACATCAGGAGACCACTTGAGGTCTGGGAACAATCCCCCCCCCCAAAACTGTACAATGTGCAGTGTAGGCTACATGTGATGACAGAGTTTGCTAAACAAATGCTCCGCGATTGGTACAAATCATCATGATATCATTCTGCTAGGTAGGCCTACTTTGCAGTCAACATTTAATTGGGAAGGTTTTTGGGGGAAAGCCTTTAGAAATGTTCATTCAAACAGTGCATGATAACTGAATTGCGCATCACAAAGATTCAACCAAGACTTCGGACCAAACTTTTTGAATACTTGGTCTACATACCCATTGTTGCATACTCATTGCTGTTTGAATAAATATTGATAATAAAAAAATAAGCTAATTGTGAACCAAAAACTAACATGACCCGCTACAAAACAATTTCACTGCCACCCTAGCGACCAATAAAAAATGGGTGTCGCACTGCCAAGTCAAAGGGTCACAAATGTGAGTGTTTTGGTTGCAGTTTTGAGACCTACATCCAAGCTCTGGCCGACTGATTCTTAGAAAGGCTTATATTCCAGGAGTTTCTACTGAACCGCAGAGGAGTGAAACAGAGCATACCACCACACATCCTCTCTAGACACACAATGCCTAGATAGTGGAACAATAATCATCACAGCAGTGGGAGACACACAAACACACACACACACCTGGAGGCCTCCACATGGCAGGCAGTGACCTCAGCTCTCATCTTGAGTGTGTGGACCTGCTGTGTAAAGGTGAGTCACTGAGGCTGCATTGACTAGGTATCACTGTCTACTCTCTCTCTGAGCTCAGCTCACTTTGTACAGAGGAGCAAACTGAAAAGGAAGGAATAATGCAGCAACTCTTGAAGGACAACGGAAGTGTTTAGTTTTAAACTCACAGAGGAAACATTTTTGAAGTGAACTTTATTTGTCCTTGAAGAGTTGCTGAATTTCCTCTTCATTTTCAGTCCGACTCAGCTCATGGCTGGTTCTACTAAGGAACACACAAAGAGAGAGAGTGAAAGCTGCCAGCCACTGACAAGCACCAGCCCATAGTACTGTATGGTGCATTAGTCCACTGATAGAGCCTGGGTCAATGGATTCCTCAGGAGGGTTGTACGTCAGCCTTACCATTATATCACCCTGACAGTGACTCAATACCTCCTTAGAACCAATGAACAAAACATCTAGGCCCTCCCTACAGATCTGTGTCACCTAAATAAAGGCCATTCCCAAGTGAGTGTAATTTCAATAGAATTCAGGTCACTCTAGAAACCGTCCAGTCAATGTGTTCAACAGTTACACCCAGAGTCAGCCAGTCAGAGGAGAAGTTCACAGGTAAACAAAACAACAGCTCCTGAATGTAAACTAAAAGGCTAAGACATTGGACCTGATGATTAGCCAAAACATCTACTTTAAAAACAGCAAATCGTGTCATGCAGCGTTAATCCTTTCGGGAAAGCTCTGCACATGTACAGTACAACTCCGCCACACTTCACTTTGTGTTGCATTCTACAGTAATGTATGACCTTGGTTTTACCCTGCTGAGATTCCTAAGGGCATGAATGATCAGATATACAATAGCCCGAGGATGGATTAGCTGGGTCACAGAAAGTTCTGTTTTAGAACAAAAACTGACTGTCCTATAAGGTTGTCATACAGGCCTGCATTTGTTTCTTTGATACTTAACTCCAGACAAGCCATATTATTTCAGCTCACTCTGTAACTCCTGATCTTATTATCAATGGCGTAGGCTACTCAAAATGCCAATAACATAGCAATAAGAAATAGCAATCTTTGTGCAAAACAGATCATACAAAACTGATTTTGGCATTTATATAGGAAAAATAATAAAATGAAGGAACAAATAAACACACACACACAATCGACTATGTTGAAGGCAAGTAAATGTGTTACACTACACACAAATAAATCTGACATTATGCCAAGATCTTACCACGAGCTCTCTCTTTGATGAGGACCTGCACTTCAATAAGCAAGCTTCGTAGGGCTGGTTTCATTTTATCAAATTAAACATAGCATCAGACAGCTAGCTGGTCCTGTGTAGCAATAGCACCAATGTTCGCCTTCCTCCCGAGTCCTAGCTCCAAATTGGGAAGTGAAGTATCGACAGCGCTATCAGACACTGGAAGAGAATGCGCTCTTGCCGCTTATGTTAGGCTACCCTATGCCTCCCATTAATTCGTTCCCTCCCAACCCGCCAAGACACTACCCACAGCAGGATCCCGCCAACTCCAACCTCTTTCCTCAAAGAGCAAAACAACACACGTTGGCTATGACATTTGCACATTCTGTCGGATGAAAGGACCACGTCATGAGTCTCAGCTGCCTGGTTGACAGCTCTCTCCTCTCGAGGCGTGGCTCGGAACTCTGTGGAGTTACTCATGTGACATACCCAGACACCAAGTCCCACGGTGTATCGTGGTACTGCAATATTGTCACACCTCTGCTATCTTTGGTTCGGAGTAAACTTTCCACGTCTTCTCGTTGTCTCTCATGGTGGTCGTTTCAGCTAGCCTCAGCCCGAGTACATTAACTAGCTAGTTAGCTAGCTAGGACTTCAACCCCCCCATGTAACGTTAGCCGTTCAACAAAGTTCCGTGACATGCATACTGCTTTATTCGAACAAACTAATATAGTCAAAGCATGTTGTAAAATTCTAAAAAGGTCATACATTCCTTTATACGAGAAACAGATATCTTCGCCCACTTGGCTAGGAACCGTGCCGCGTTCAAGTACTAGTTAGAGCTAAGAAACTTTGATATTTCCGACTTGCTAACTGGTTGTAGTTAATCACGTGCCGCGTTCAAATAATTAGTTAATCGGATATTTCCGACTTTCCTAGTTCCGACTACCACATGAACGCGACATAACAAGCCACAAATCCCAGGAAGTAAATCCACACTCCCCAGCTCTACGTCACCGTTAGATCACATAGTTTCTAAACCCAGAGGCACAACATCGCGAGACTTCCGGGAACGCTTGCGAAACAGACCAGTCCGGGGTTTGAGAAGTCGAGTGAACAATTATTCCTTAGTTGTTAATTTTGTCGAATCTAAAAAGGCACAACCTAGATTCCAGCCAATGACTTAAGTAGTTGAACATGTTATTACTCCAACCTCGTGAAAGTGACAAACTGACTTTTATAGGAGCACATGCGCAGTTCTTCGCGAGATGACCATTAGACCCGATGACGTTTTCTATGCAATAGTTTAGCTAGACAACGTCGCCATGACAATTGAGCGTGCGTTCGTAAATTAATTTAGGATATCTACTCCGATTTTAGAGCACTCTCGTTTGAGTGTGCCAGAGCGCAGAATAACTGATGAATTGACGAATGCGCAACACCTGTTGAATATGACAGGTGGCAGTAAAGGTTGGCAAAAAATGGAATTAAATTCGTGCTAGCAGCAATTACGGTCACTACCGCCCTCTGCTAGGGCGAGTAAAATGGTCAGAGTGAGGTGTTCTCTCGTTTCTGTCTGGAAGTAGCTAGCAAGCTACGCTAGCCAACTTTAGCCAGTTAGCTTGGGCGCTTGACTGCCGTTGTGAGGTCAGAACGCTCGGATCAACCCCACTCCTCAGCCAGAGCGTCCAGTGTGCGCTCTGAACGCTCCTGCAGTGAAACGCTCTGAATTTATGAACAGACAATCTGACAACGTTCTGAATTTACGGATGCCCAGAACGCAGTCTGAGCGCACTCTGGCACTCCAGACTGAATTTACGAACACACCCATAATGTACTGTCTTTGGTTAGATCACAACCTCTCTCACGCCACCACATTTACAAACTGTCTACGAGGGCCATCTACCGGACTCATACCGTGCATGCATGAATAATGGTTTCCATGCAATGTTGTACTGTAGAGGGTGCAAAAGAGCGATCATTTTCATTCTGACCCGCTTCCAGTGGCTCTGCTGTTAACACGGTCCAAAGTTATCCCGGAATAAGGACAGCACGCATGTGCCATCAACCCGGATGTAGAATTTGTACGATTCTCTTCCCCTCATTTTTTTTATATAGGCTATTGTTCCTAACTGTGTCAAAAATAGAATATGGTAGTCATTCTATGGCAGGCTTGAACGGGTCTAGACCGGGCTAGACAGGTGTGTCCTGTGAACTGTGACAGCTGATAGCAGTGGTAGCCATGCCTACTGAAGTGACAGCGAACTGAAGAATGGCAGCATACTGTAACCAGAACAAACCTTTGTGTTGATGCTGTAGCCTCCCATTTTGATATTACTTTAGTTGAATGCTTCATAGTATGATTTGAACTATTTTAGCCTACTGATTATTTATTAGCTTATTTCGTTAGGCCTAAATATAGGCCTATGCTAGCAGGCTTATTAGCCTACATTAGCCAAACTAAGGCTAATGATTGGTTATTTGATAAAATAAATAATAATAAACAGGGTTGTTTTTGTTTTTATTTCCATAGATAAGATAACTCGGAGGACCTGTCATCTGTCAAAGCGCCGTCTAGAATGGACTTCCACAGAAGAAAGTATGAGCGGGGCAGCAACTGGTCTGACCCAGAGATGGCAGAACTCCTCCAGCAATGGTCAGACGAGTCGGTCCAACTCGAGCTGGAGAGTTTCCTGTGTTCAACCGAATAACGGACATCCTGCGAGAAAAAGGCATCTATCGCACCGGCGACCAGTGCAGGGAGAATATCAAAAAGATGAAACTGGAGTACCGCCACATCAATGACAACCACAGGATGATGTAATGGACCGGGTCTTAACGAACCACCCGGCCATAGACTACTTCTCTTTGGGCAGTGCTGTTATAGCCCACTAGGTCCTCCAGAGCTCCCCTAGTGGTGCAGACGCAAACCTCCATGGTCTGCCAGGTGGTGCCTTTGGTTCCGCTGCTTCGGGCGGGTTCTTGTTTGGTCATCCGCCCAGGCCGGGGGAGCTGCTGGAGATCAATTGCGAGGATGCAGAGTCCGAGAATGGACTGCTGAACTCCGATGCTGCGTCCCCAGAACTGCTGTATCATATCGGGTTTGGAGATGAGCATGACACCAATGGGAAGTCTGCCGGACTGGATCAAGAAGGCCCGGTCGAGATGGTGTGAGGAGAGCACATGGCAAGCATGCAACAGTCTCTTTCAGGTTGGCTAAAAAAGCAGATGAGGTTGATTGGCCTAATCTCCTGTATTATTTTGCATGGATATTCATTCAGAAATTTTATCAAAAGTTAGGGTAGATGCAACTTTTATTTTTAGCCCCAACACTTAGCCTAGTAAGCTGTATTATTGCACAATTCGATGGCGCAGTTTCAAGGCTGTACGAACTGGTCTTTGTTATTGTATAAACACACCACATGATTACACACATTATTTTGTACTTTTTTTCTTAGGGGGTAGATCAGCTTTAATATTGCAGATAGATTGTAGCTACCATAAATTTAATTGTCTGCATAATTTCCAATCATCCATATATTTTTTGGGTAAATAGATATATTTTTGTAAATATCTACAGTGCATTCGGAAAGTATTCAGACCCCTTCACTTTTTCCACATTTTGTTACATTAGAGCCTTATTCTAAAATTGATTAAATTGCTTTTTTCCCACATCAATCTACACACAATGCCCCATAATGACAAAGCAAAAACAGGTTTCTAGAAATGTTTGCTAAGGTATTAAAAATAAAAAACGGAAATATCACATTTACGTAAGTATTGAGACCCTTTACTCAGTACTTTGTTGAAGCACCTTTGGCAGCGATTACAGCCCAAATCTTCTTGGGTATGACGCTACAAGCTTGGCACACCTGTATTTGGGGAGTTTCTCCCATTATTCTCCTCAGATCCTCTCAAGCTCTGTCAGGTTGGATGGGGAGCATTGCTGCACAGCTATTTTCAGGTCTCTCCAGAGATGTTCGATCGGGTTCAAGTCCAGGCTCTGGCTGGGCCACTCAAGGACATTCAGAGACTTGTCCCAAAGCCACTCCTGCGTTGTCTTGACTGTGTGCTTAGGGTCATTGTCCTGTTGGAAGGTGAACCTTCACCCCAGTCGGAGGTCCTGAGCGCTCTGGAGCAGGTTTTCATCAAGGATCTCTCTGTACTTTGCTTCGTTCACCTTTCCCTCGATCCTGACTAGTCTCCCAGTCCTTGCCCCTGAAAAACATCCCCACATCATTAACCCCCACATCTGAATGATCTCTTGTATTTATCTCAACTTGCACATTAGTTCCCCTTGCTTCCAGCCTAGCATTTAGTTTGGTACAGTGGGGGTTAATATAAGCCTTGCTGTCTACCTGTCCAACCTCTGAAACAATGTTCCAGCCTGCATAGCAACCATTTTGTTTAGAAAGGACCAGTCCTTTTGCATAGCAACTATGCAAAAATAATTAAGGACTTGATCATGGCTGTACCAACATGACCAAAATAACTAACAACCCGATTTTTGTCCGGACTACATCTTCTGGTGGAAGAATGAAATTGTATGAATTGACTTGTAAAAATAACTTTTTAATTAACATATGTAAGTGTATAAATAAGGCACATGAGGCTATTGTGTCCTGCCGAACAACGCCATTTACCCGTGACTGTATTCATGATACAGCACTGCCTCGTGTTGCTCAGTTGGTAGAGCTTTGCGCTTGCAACGCCAGGTTTGTGGGTTCGATTCCCACAGGGGGCCAGTATGAAAATGTATGCACTCACTAAACTGTAAGTCTGCTAAATGACTAAAATGTAAATGCCTCTTGTGCCTTATTGCTTAAATAATCACCACGTGTAATACGGTTTGGGAAACCACAGAATTTCTACTTTCATATCACCCCAAAATTATTTCACAAATACAATAGATACACTTACTGTGCGCCATTCTAACACAGATTCCCACGTATGTGTTTTGCATTGCACTTCCTGAGCTAATGGAAACTCAGGAGGGAACAAAAAATAACAGTCGGCTCGAAGCTGTGTTACACAAAACACCTCAGTGGAAATCTGTGGTAAACCAGCTAACAGTAACTGCAGAGCTGCCAACTCTCACGCATTTTACCCTCTTCTCGCGGCACACCTCTTACATCTCACGCATTGAAAAGTACTGGTTTTATTTTTCTAATTCATGTTGTGCTCCAAATCTTTTTGAAATTGGAACATATGCGCCTCCAATTTAACATCACGAGCAGAACCTCTATCACTGTCCTGACTTGCCACACAACTGTGAACGCGGCACATTGAAGCATTCTCATTGGTCTAGTTATGCAAGGGGTCAAGGGGATTGGAAGTATGTTTTAAAGAAACGCCCCTCAAGATTAGAGCGTAGAGATGGAGATATATAACGTTATAAAACTGTAAACATGTAGCATGGTAGCGCTGTTTAATGTACAATTTGGTCAACATAATTAGGTTGCTTTTACTCCCGTCCCTATTGCAGAATGCAGTTTTTTTGCAGTCTTTTGACAGCATGTACTCGTTTGGTGATTGGCATTTAGGCTGTGACAACGAAAAGGCAGCAGACAGACCTACAGTATGTTTTAGCAGGAAGGTTTGGTAGGGTGACGGGATTTCTATCTATGAAAATAATTTTGTCAAACAGATTGTGAACCCAAAAGTGTAAATTGGATTTTAGATGGGGGATAACACACACAAAAAAATGTGGTTAGGGCATAGGGGCAGATTTATGTCACCTTGTCTTCAAGAGATTGTATTATCTATTTAGTCTGATCAGGTGGAACAATTCGCATTCTTAACAATGGGCTAAAATATAGGGTAATTACTGTTGTTGTCAGCAAGAACACTACTGTTATCAGCCACACATATTATATTATACCAGTTCTTCCCAATTTTGACAGTGTAATCACATATTTGAAATCTCATATGCCTACTTGTGTCTTTGAAAATGAATTATGAGGCTATGTATTTTTGCAGCCATTCATGGACAGTTTTGAATAAGTCATACAAATAAGCGTTGGATAATAAATGCTCCAGGAATCAAATATAATATGACATTTTAGTATTGTGCACATTCTAGGCAACTCATAAACGCATAATATTTTGTCTTTGTAGAGTAAGATGATGGATAGGATCTTCAACTAGTAGGTATAAACCACCTGAATATTGATATTCATTAGATTTTTCTTGAAGGTTTGGTGATTTTGAGAAATTAATTGTTATAACAAGTACATTTTCAAACACCCAGCACTTAGGAAACATAGATCAGGGGTGGCCAACCCTCCTGGAGAGCAAGCAGGATTTTCTTCCAGCCCTTAAAGATATCGTTCACTCAAGTTACAAAATGTTTGTGTCCTTACCTTGAAAGCAGTATATGGACAAGGAGACTGCAATCTATGATGTGGTTACCCACTGCCATCAACCATAAATATGTCCTGTGCAGAGTCTTGGTGTAGTGGAAACACTCCCTGGCACATGTCACGTGCAACTTTCCACCTGAGAACCACTGTTTCTTAGCATTTGCCTGTCTCCCTATCTCATTTAATTACTGTCTAAATAAAGTGTCAAACCACCTAAGAAATATTTTGTAAAAAATATTAGCGTACTTTAAGTTTCCTCCCCCAAATATTGCAAAGTAACAAAGTCGTCCAATTTTGAGTGTTCATTTTAATGTTCAAAGCATCCTGAATACACCTGACCTGTGTGTTTTTTAAATAAAAATGTATCCACCCAGGTCATAGGCCTAAGCCATGTCAAAATGCATAGAATTGCAGGAAATTAGTAAAATCCCCCCCCTCTAGGGGGTTGTGCTAGGAGGCAATGAAATTCACATAGCAAATCTCACTCCAAGCTTTCATCAAAAGTTGGCAGCCCTGTAACTGTATCTTTTATATTTGTAAAGTTATTGTTGGTTGATAATGACGTTGAATGTTCAAGGTTTCCAAAACAATATCGCAATCAAGGCTACATTTATTTATACATAGAGCGTTTCACACTTGACCAAATCACCTCAGCTAATCAAAAGGGGACATGGAATTACTCCAATGTAGCATTGGAGTCATGAGAAAGGCTAACCTAACCTATTACCTGACCCATCATTTTATGTATTACCGTACTGCCCCTCAGTTGCCCGTAAAGTGACATCCCAACAAACACCCCAAAAACACTAAACAACCCAAATGGCTCTTAACCCCCCCCCCCCAGGCATGCTTTCTGTCTCTAACACTAAAACTGAAACTGAAACGAAATAATATAAAAAATATATTTATATTTAGTTTTTATATTATTTCGTTTCAGTTTCAGTTTAAACTAATTAAAAACCAGCAACTGAAACAAAACTGAATTCAAAATAAAAATGGAAAAACTAATAGAAACAAAAACGAATATAAAAACACAAACGACAATAAACTTGGCCCAGACATTATACATTTGGTTCGGGCCGGGTAGGGCATGTTCTTTCATCCATGACTAGTGTACGGGCACTAACATTTACAAACTAAGCCATTTGCTCGTGCTCTGCTGCGCAGTACATTCATATCTGACTAAGCTCATAACATGGTTTCAGAAGTGCTTCAACCTCGTCAAATATAAAACAGGAAAGATTATTTCACGGAAAATAATAATGTTCCTTGAGTTTTGTCAGAGTTTAGAGTGACGAAAAGTATTTAACAGCGAACTGCTTTCTCATGTCACGTCATTGAGCAGAGCAGCCCAAGCGGAGCCGTTGCTATGGATACTCACAGACGCAGAGACGCCATGAGCAGAGCACATGCAGTGTGAGGTGCGTGCAGGGAGCGAGTGACAGACCGAGAGGAGTAGTTCATGGAATAAGTGATTTCTGGTTTCGGGCAGGGCCTTAAATTTGGCTGAAGCAAACCAAATCAGCCCCACCACTATCCATCCCAGCCCATGGCCTGCCTAAACCTGAGAGCATGCTGGCCACACTGAGTGGTGCAAAGACCCCTGGCCACAGTGTGTAGCTGTCACGCCGTGGCAACTCCATCAGACACCACCAGGGTTTTCTACAGGAGGGCTACACCCAGTACCACACTGACAAATACCACGATAATGACCCCAATGTGAGTCTCCAACACTGCTGCTGTTCCCCATGCTGCTGCTCCCCAGTCGTTTCAGAACTGTATTTGGTGTCATATCACTTGTCATGTCACTTTGTGGCAAATGTATCTGTAAATATTGCTAGACATAACAATTCATAGATTAGTTGAAAGATAGATTGATATATTTTTGTGTCTCTCGTCTCCAGGGCATAATCAACATGGGCACCAGTGAGAACAAGCTGTGCTATGATCTGCTTCACAAACGGGTGAGAGAGGGGGGAGAAGAGAGGGGATGGAGAGAGGTTCATGTGGTTGCTCCACATTGCTTATCACCAGTGGTGGAAAAAGTACCCAATTGTCATACTTGAGTAAAAGTAAAGATAACTTAATAGAAAATGACTCAAGTAAAAGTGAAAGTCATCAAGTAAAATACTACTAGAGTAAAAGTCTAAAAGTCTTTGGTTTAAAACATACTTAAGTATCAAAAGTAAAAGTAATTGCTAAAATATGCTTAAGTATTGAAAGTGAAAGTAAATGTATAAATCATTTCAAATTCCTTATTTTAAGCTAACCAGACTGCACCATTTTCTTGTTTTTTTAATTTATGGATAGCCAGGGGCATACTCCAACACTCATACATATTTTACAAACAAAGCATTTGTGTTTAGTGAGTCTGTCAGATCAGAGGCAGTAGAGATGCCAGGGATGTTCTCTTGATAAGTGTGTGAATTGGACCATCTTCCTGTCCTGCTAAGCATTCAAAATGTAACTAGTACTTTTCGGTGTCAGGGAAAATGTATGGAGTAAAAAGTACATTTTCTTTAGGAATGTATTGAAGTAAAGTTGTCAAAAATACGAATACTAAAGTAAAGTACAGATACACCCCAAAACTACTTAAGTAGTACTTTAAAGTATTTTTACTTAAGTACTTTACACCACTGCTTATCACTGACTTTGTCAATCAGAATGATAAACCATTGTCATGTGTTATTTGAAAAGGATGGTTATGGTACATGTATTCATTAGAGGCATTTAAACTACAATTCAATAACATGTTTATTACACAGAAGGAAGATGTTTATTAGAGCAGCGATTAGGATGATGGTAGGGTAAAAATGGTGAGGATGATGATGATGATGACGATATCCCCTCTGTAACGAGAGAAGAGGTGTCCAGGTTCCTGTCTCACAACTGTGGTTCCCCCGACCCACTGAGAGCAGACAAGGTGAGTGAACTGAGCTCTCCTCAGCCCTTATAGTACTGTATAATGGCTCTAGTCTAGTGTATAATCCTGGCCTTTAAGAATCCTGGCCTTTAAGGAATGCTGTGATTGCTAGACTACTTCATTATATTATTACTGTATTATAAGTATAGCGACTCATTTAGGCTTGTGATAGCAGTGGACTCGACTCAATTAATGACTTTCATTAACCAAATTAATGACAGTAAAAGTGCTTAGGCTCACAGAAAACTGATTGCATTCGTCAATGACTGTAGGCTATTAATCTATGGGTATGAATAGTTAAAGACTGCGGCGGCCGCTGATTGGCTGAATACCCGGGGCGCAAGGTGGTTGGAGTTGTCAACAAAGCAGCGTGAAAGAAATATAATGGCACGTTTTTTAACTACCGGTAGTTTCTTTGAGAAGATATATAAAGTGATATGTACATTTGAACAACAGAATAAATACACCTATTTCACTTTTGCATTTCAAAAACCAAATGACCACTGCTGCACATGTTGCCACTGTTTTGAACAGATTAGATTATACTATTTAGAATGAGCAGCCAGCTCATGAACGAACAAGTTCACCAGGGAGAAAGGTCGTCACTAGTTACCACAGCTACAAAGTCGTAAAGCGTGCCTATTTCAAAAATGTCTCTTCTTATGTGATTTTAAACCTAACCCTAACCCTAACATTAACCACACTGCTAACCTTATGCCTAACCCTAACCTTAAATCAAGACCAAAAAGCCAATTTTGACTTTGTGGCTGTGGAAACCAAGGAGAACGCAACAAGCATACAGATGCAATGAGTGAAAACATATAATCAAACTGGGGAAAGCTAGCTAACATAATATCACAAAGCATGATGCGCTAGCCAGGTAACTTTCATTCTGAAATAACTTCATATTTCCGAGTTAACCCCTTAGAGTCGATGCCCATGGAAATCTAGTTAGCATAATACAAAAATGCCCATAAAAATCAGCCTATTTAAGATGCGTTTCAATCCACCACATCCGCCGATGTCGGCCTTCCGCATCTGCGGTGGAAGGTGGCAGAGCTACATCGGTGTTTGTCAGACCAGGAGACGTCCCGAAAATCGGTTGGTTTGGCCTACAAATTATTATGACCCCTATATGGAAAGATGAGACTCTTGCGAACACAATGGTGTTCTCCGTTTTTGCTCTACGACCTACAAGCGTCACAGAACTCGTCTGAAGTCGGTACCGCTGATCTGCCAACTTCTGCCTGTAGCGTCCGAACAGTTTGGGCTACACAAACTTTCTCTATGGAAGGTGAGACCCTCACGCTCACGAACATGTCAGTTGTTTTGCTCTAGGACTCCTACAATCATCACAAGGCTCGTCTGAATGTAGCCCGGTACAAGTTGAACAAATGATTGGAAGTACAGTATATGGAAGTAGTTTAGTGCCTAAAAAAAGGGGTTAAATATGGACTTCCTTATATCTCACTTAAAAACATGATTTTTGAATCTGTTCATACCGAACAGCTAGAGCGACAACTAAAATGGCTTTGAAAAAAATACGATTTCAGCTAATAGGGGGACGTATCTAACAAAATAACTACATTATGGCATTCACTAATCGTAAACTATTTACATATAATAGACATTTCGGTACATTTGTGGACAAAATTCTTACTTACTCAATCTTTAAATTATGAAGAATGTTTTTACTCATAAAGCTAGTTTCTTATTTGTGTGTGTTTGTGTGTGTGTGGGTTCAGGTTGTGGTGATGAATGGCTGTGGCTCCCTCTTCTCCTCCATAACCACAGTGCTTTGTGACCCGGAAGGTTAGTTCAACTCACTTAAAGTACACTCAAAGAGTATGTCCAGTTGTTTCACCTATGGATTGCATAATATAACTTAACCTTTAAATATCACCCATGCCCTATCATACTGTGAAAGACATGGTATTGTATTTAATTAATGGATTTGATTTGTCAACTTTAATTGAGTATGTTAGAGAGGTGTACTCAGACTCAGTGTTTGTGTTTTAGATGCAATCCTTATTTCAACGCCATTCTATGGAGTCATCCCTGAGGATGTGCATCTCTACAGTGGTGCTCCGGTCTCTTCCATGTTCACCTCGACTGTGAGGTAGGGCTTAATTCTTAACATAATATACGGTATACCATATACCACCCTGTATTGTTGTATTTGTTGTGTGCTTATTGTGTCTGTTTTTAGCCTTGTGGCAGTCGGCCTTTCCACCTCACTGTGGAAAGACTGGAGGAAGCTATGAGGAAGGCAACTAGCGAGGTAACCCCCCCCCCCCAACATAATAGTTTTCAATTTATAAATGAAGATACAGGCACTAGAATCATCATTGGTATAACTGTCCCTTGTTGTGTTCCTGCCAGGGGGTGAATGTCAGAGCCGTGATCCTGGTGAACCCCCATAACCCCCTGGCTGAGGTCTACTCCCCTCCGGAGATTACTGGCTTCCTGGAGTTTGCCAAGAGGTACATTTCTTCCTCACATCATATTTCCATATTGTACAATATGTTTTCCCTCAGCGCATAGAGCATCCAAGTATCATGACTGTAATTTTATTGTAAAGTACAACTAAGGGTTGAGGACTCTCCCAAAAGCATCCGTTGTAGTCTAAGTGGTGATCTCAGCATTAGCACCCTCTACAGACCTACCCATGCACTGAGTTGCAGTAACCATAAACCAGCGATGTTCTATTACACACTGCTCCCTCAGGTTGCCTACTGATAGAGTGCTTTTAATGCCTGCTTGCATTGCCTGTGTAATAAAGAACAATAAACATCTTAAAACAGTGCAATACAAATTCATAATAATTATTTTCAATTTTTCTCCCTGTTCTCTCCATTCCTTCCCCCTGTCTCAGGCATGAGTTGCACACCATTGTAGATGAGGTGTACGTGCTGACGGTGTTTGAAGAAACAGCCACCTTCCACAGGGACCTTAGCATGGAGAGGTATGACAAACACACAAACCCTTCCTATTGAATGTACATTAACAATGGGGTGCTTCCAGGTTGCTGGACCACCAGAGAACATATGTGATGTGTTCTCTTCAGCAAGTCTAAAGTGAGTGTGTGTTCGTGCGTGTGCCTGCACATGCATACAGTGCATTCGGAAAGTATTCAGACCCCTTGACATTTTCCACATTCTATTACGTTACAGCCTTATTCTAAAATGGATTAAATAGTATTTTTCCCCTCATCAATCTACACACAATACCCCATAATGACAAAGCAAAAACAGGTTTCATACAAATATTCATTTTCAGAACTTTGTAATCAACTCAGCTACTCAATCTTTGTGTGAAGTCGCACCCTGTTTGGGGAGTTTCATTCACTCAATCTTCACCTGCAGGTTATGGCGCTTTTTCAGTCTCGAGATTTCGTCGGTTCAGCCACCTGGGCCACTCAAGGACATTCAGAGACTTGTCCCAAAGCCACTCCTGCGTTGTCTTGACTGTGTGCTTAGGGTCATTGTCCTGTTGGAAGGTGAACCTTCACCCCAGTCGGAGGTCCTGAGCGCTCTGGAGCAGGTTTTCATCAAGGATCTCTCTGTACTTTGCTTCGTTCACCTTTCCCTCGATCCTGACTAGTCTCCCAGTCCTTGCCCCTGAAAAACATCCCCACATCATTAACCCCCACATCTGAATGATCTCTTGTATTTATCTCAACTTGCACATTAGTTCCCCTTGCTTCCAGCCTAGCATTTAGTTTGGTACAGTGGGGGTTAATATAAGCCTTGCTGTCTACCTGTCCAACCTCTGAAACAATGTTCCAGCCTGCATAGCAACCATTTTGTTTAGAAAGGACCAGTCCTTTTGCATAGCAACTATGCAAAAATAATTAAGGACTTGATCATGGCTGTACCAACATGACCAAAATAACTAACAACCCGATTTTTGTCCGGACTACATCTTCTGGTGGAAGAATGAAATAGTATGAATTGACTTGTAAAAATAACGTTTTAATTAACATATGTAAGTGTATAAATAAGGCACATGAGGCTATTGTGTCCTGCCGAACAACGCCATTTACCCGTGACTGTATTCATGATACAGCACTGCCTCGTGTTGCTCAGTTGGTAGAGCTTTGCGCTTGCAACGCCAGGTTTGTGGGTTCGATTCCCACAGGGGGCCAGTATGAAAATGTATGCACTCACTAAACTGTAAGTCTGCTAAATGACTAAAATGTAAATTCTTCCTGGGTATGGCGCTACAAGCTTGGCACACCTGTATTTGGCGAGTTTCTTCCATTCTCCGCAGATCCTCTCAAGCTCTGTCAGCTTGGAAAGGGAATGTCACTGCACAGCTATTTTCAGGTCTCTCCAGAGATGTTAGATCGGGTTCAAGTCTGGGCTCTGGCTGGGCCACTCAAGGACATTCAGAGACTTGTCCCGAATCCACTCCTGCGTTGTCTTGACTGTGTGCTTAGAGTTGTTGTCCAATTGGAAGGTGAACCTTTGCCCCAGTCTAAGGTCCTGAGTGCTCTGGAGCAGGTTTTCATCAAGGATCTCTCTGCACTTTCCTCCAGTCATCTTTCCCTCGAACCTGACTAGTCTCCCAGTCCCTGCCGCTGAAAGAAATCCCCACAGCATGATGCTGCCACCACCATGCTTCACTGTAGGGATGGTGCCAGGTTCCCTCCAGACGTGGCATTTAGGCCAAAGAGTTAAAACTTGGTGTCATCAGACCAGAGAATCTTGTTTCTCATGGTCTGAGAGTCCTTTAGGTGCCTTTTGGCAAACTCCAAGCGGGCTATCATGTGCCTTTTACTGAGGAGTGGCTTCCGTCTGGCCACTCTACCATGAAGGCCTGATTGGTGGAGTGCTGCAGATATGGTTGTCCTTCTGGAAGGTTCTCCCATCTCCCCAGAGGAACTCTGGAGCTCTGTCAGAGTGACCATCGGGTTCTTGGTCGCCTCCCTGACCAAGGCCCTTCTCCCCCGATTGCTCAGTTTAGCCGGGCGGCCAGCACAATCCTGTCTCTGAGCTCTATGGACAATTCCTCATGGATTGGTTTTTGCTTTGACATGCACTGTCAACAGTGGGACCTTATATAGACAGGTGTGTGCCTTTCCAAATCATGTCCAATCAATTGAATTTACCACAGGTGGACTCCAATCAAGTTGTAGAAACATCTCAAGGATGATCAATTGAAACAGGATGCACCTGAGCTCAATTTCCAGTCTCATAGCAAAGGGTCTGAATACTTATGTAAATTAGGTATTTCTGTTTTTTATGATTAATACATTTGCTAAAAATTCAAAAAACCTGTTTTCGCTTTGTCATTATGGGGTATTGTGTGTAGATTGATAAAAAAAGTCAAGGGGTCTGAATAAGAATAAGGCTGTAACATATCAAAATGTGTAAAAAGTCAAGGGGTCTGAATACTTTCCGAATGCACTGTATGTGAGTGTGTGAGTGCGTGAGCATACGTGTCTGAATGTGTTTGTACGTACATGTTGTTGTGGGGACTATCTGGGGGTTATCTGGCCCTCCTATTATTTTCACCCCGTCTCATTTGTGTTGTCCTTGTGCAGGACTTTGCGATAGCAGGAGTGCGTGTGGGCACTGTGTACTCTGACTCTTGGTCGAAGCTCTGGATAAGCTGGGGATGTTCCACGGTGTCCCTGGTCCAATACAGCATCAGATGGCAAGGCTGCTCCAGGACAGGGGTACAGACACACACACACTCAGACTCACACTCACACGCACTAGATGAGAGGACATACTGTATCACCCTCATTAGGGAGTTTAACCTACCTGTGTTCTATTGTAGATTGGATCGATGGGAGGTTTCTTCCAGAGAACAGTCTGAGAATGCAGACCGCTCACAGGTACATGACTGAGGAGCTACAGAGCCTGGGAGTCCCCTACCTCCACCGGCCTGCTTGCTTCTACATCTGGGCAGAACTCAGGAAGGTAAGGACACTGACCCAGGGTTGGGGTTAGAAGACTGGATGGTGAGAAGCTGCTGTCTTGGTTCTTCCTGACATGGTTCCTCCTCTCTCTCTCTCTCTCTCTCGCTCTCGCTCTCAATTCAATAGACTTTATTGACATGGCAGGTTCAATTACTTACATTGTCAAAGTACCCATACATCAACAATGGTCGGACTAACAGTAATAAAGCAATAATAATACTAGTAGGTCTAGTAGTAGTGGTAATGATATTAACATCAACAGCAACTACAACAACATCTCTCTCTCATTTGTCCCTCTCCCCCTGTCTGTCAGTACCTGCGTGAGCCATCGTTTGCGGAGGAGCTGTCCCTGTGGAGGTGTTTACTGAAACACAAGCCTTCCACTGCTCCACTCCTGGCTCGTTCTGCATCGTCTTCACTGACCGACAGCAACACCTGACGCTCGGTACCTTCATCAATCAGTTCATCTCTTTTTCTCCTCTCATTATGATAGAGGCAGGAAAACAGGCCCTGGAGGAGATAGATAGGTCCACATCCACCCCTGACACAGGCACAACCAACGAGGCCACCAAGGAGGAAGGGACAAAGATGACATCAAAGAGGAACACAACAGGCTCACACAAAGCTGTGTCCGTCAAGTCAACTCCCTTTCCGAAGAACACCTCATCATCAGAATAGCCAGGGGAGAAGGATAACCCCGCCCTTGATGCCATCCCATTAGCCATTGAAGACTTTGTCTTGTTGGACTTCCAGACGTCCCACCCCACATAGAGTCTGGACTCCCTGATTTGGTGCCCTGAGGCAACAGATCCGCTCCTCTGATTGGCTGGCGAAGAACACTCCAGAACTCTCGGCCGGGCAGGATCCCGAGCTGTTCAAAGACCTGCTGGACAGAGCCAGGAAGTAGAGGAGAGGAGGGGTAGAGTGGAGTGGAGGGGAGGGGAGGAGAGGAGTGGAGGGGATGGAGAGGAGAGAAGGGGAGGGGATGGAGAGGAGAGAAGGGGAGGGGGGAGGCAAAAGGAAAGGAAGTAAGAAAGACATTCATCAGGAGAGGTAGCAGGAAAGGAGACAAAGATTCCCCAGTTTGTCCACATCAGGATGTCTTATTTTTTTGTGATAGATACAGTAGATAGGTAGATAGATTTGTTTGACAATTTAAAACACAATACAACCACACATGTGGATATTGCATTTAAAATCATTGAGGATGACACAACAAAGTTTGAAAACGTATTTCCATCGCTACGCAATTACCTGGTTGCTAAAATTCTAATACTTCACCTAATTTCAGTTTATGTGACAAAACAGAGTTTAATTGTACCATCTAAACCACTGTGAAATATATTTTCAGTAACCCAAAATATTATACTTTCAGTTTTTTTAAGCTGGTGTACAAAACCGAAAGTAAAAGACGCAAAAATGAAACATAAGAACGGGAAGCATAGAAATAGCCACATAGAACATATCTAACGCTTCTTAGACTTTCTTTCAATGAGAATAACAGATTTATAACTCACATTTCTTTGTGAATTTGGTCATGTCGCCCAAAAAGTTAAATATTGCAGCTTTGAATAAATTGGAAGGAAACCACAGTGATTTTACCATGAGACCAATTATGATGATTTTAAACCAGTTATAGAGTTAAATGGCTGTGATAGGAGAAAACTGAGGATGGATCAACAACATTGTAGCTACTCCACAATACAAACCTAAATGACCAAGTGAAAAGAAGGAAGCCTGTACAGAATAAAAATATTTGAAAACATGCATCCTGTTTGCAATAAGGCACTAAAGTAATACTGCAAAAAATGTGGCAAAGAAATGAACTTTTTGTCCTGAATACAAAGCATTATGTTTGGGGCAAATCCAACACAACACATCACTGAGTACCACTCTTCATATTTTCAAGCATGGTGGTGTCTGTATTATGTTATGGGTATGCTTGTCATCGGCAAGGACTAGGGAGTTTTTTTTTGGATCAAAATAAAATGAATAGAGCTAAGCACAGGCAAAGTCCTAGGGGAAAACCTGCTTCAGTCTGCTTTCCAACAGGCACTGCGAGACAATCCACCTTTCAGCAGGACAATAACCTAAAATGCAAGGCCAAATATACACTGGAGTTACTTACCAAGACAACATTGAATGTTCCTGAGTGGCCTAGGTACAGTTCTGACTTAAATCGCCTTAAAAAATATATGGCAAGACTTGAAAATGGCTGTCTTGCAATGATCAACAACCAACTTGACAGAGCTTGAAGAATTTGTAAAAGAATAATGGGCAAATATTGTACAATCCAGGTTTGCAAAGCTCTTAGAAACTGACCCTGAAAGACTCACAGTTGTAATCACTGCCAAAGGTGATTCTAACATGTATTGACTCAGGGGGTTGAATACTTATCTAATCAAAATATATTAGTGTTGTCACGATCGTTTACGGACGAGAAGGACCAAGTCGCAGCGTGTCCAAGGTAGACAAATAACATACCTCACACGGAACAAGATCCCACAACTAACAGGTGCCAAAAGGCTGCCTAAGTATGGTCCCCAATCAGAGACAACGAGCAACAGCTGCCTCTGATTGGGAACCACTCAGGCCAACATAGATCTATACATACTAGATCTAACCATAGACAATAAACATAGCACAACACGACACAGAAAATACACACCCTGACTCAACAAATACGAGTCCTAGAGTCAGGGCGTGACAGTACCCCCCCCCAAACTCCGACCGTGCCACATAAACATAACAGGGTAGGGGCCGGGTGGGCATTCCGCCTCGGAGGCGGATCCGTCTCCGGGCGTGACCACCACTTACTCTCCACCTCCCTGTTGCGCCCCTGGTCTGGTCTGGACCTCGGCGCGCTGCTTCCCCTCTCCTTCCTCCCACGACGTACCAAGCCCTGTCTGGACCCTGGTGTGGGAGACCCCGAACCTGGAGAGGGGCTGACGTCTGGGTCTGGACTGGAACCGCTGACTGGAGCTGGACCAGACGACGGTGGATCGAACTGCTCTGGCTCCGGAGTGGAGCCGCTGACCGGAGCTGGACCGGACCCCAGTGGAGCGGATTGCTCTGGCTCCGGAGTGGAGCCGCTAACCGGAGCTGGACTGGACCCCGGTGGAGCGGATTGCTCTGGCTCCGGAGTGGAGCAGCTGACCGGTGCCGGACCAGGCACCGGTGGAACAGGCACGGGCCGTGCCGGACTGGACACACGCACCACTGGCTTGGTGCGGGGAGCAGGAACAGGCCGGACCGGGCTGGCGACGCGCACCACTGGCTTGGTGCGAGGGACAGGAACAGGCCGGACCGGGCTGGCGACGCGCACCACTGGCTTGGTGCGAGGGACAGGAACAGGCTGGACCGGGCTGGCGACGCGCAACACTGGCTTGGTGCGAGGAACAGGCCGGGCCGGCGACGCGCACCACTGGCTTGGTGCGAGGGACAGGAACAGGCCGGACCGGGCTGGCGACGCGCACCACTGGCTTGGTGCGAGGGGCAGGAACAGGCCAGACCGGGCTGGCGACGCGCACCACTGGCTTGGTGCGAGGGACAGGAACAGGCCGGACCGGGCTGGCGACGCGCACCACTGGCTTGGTGCGAGGGACAGGAACAGGCCGGACCGGAACAGGCCGGACCGGGCTGGCGACGCGCACCACTGGCTTGGTGCGAGGAACAGGAACAGGCCGGGCCGGGCTGGCGACGCGCACCACTGGCTTGGTGCGAGGGGCAGGAACAGGCCGGGCCGGGCTGGCGACGCGCACCACTGGCTTGGTGCGAGGGTCAGGAACAGGCCGGACCGGTCTGGCGACGCGCACCACTGGTTTGGTGCGAGGGGTAGGAACAGGCCGGGCAGGGCTGGCGACGCGCACCACCAGTTTGGTGCGAGGGGCAGGAACAGGCCGGGCCGGGCTGGCGACGCGCACCACTGGTTTGGTGCGAGGGACAGGAACAGGCCGGACCGGGCTGGCGACGCGCACCACTGGCTTAGTGCGGGGAGCAGGAACGGGTCGGGCCGTACTGGGAACACGCACCACTGGCTTAGTGCGGGGAGCAGGAATGGGCCGGACCGTACTGGGAACACACACCACTGGCTTAGTGCCGGGGAGCAGGAACGGGTCGGGCCGTACTGGGAACACACACCACTGGCTTAATGCGGGGAGCAGGAACGGGCCGGACCGGACTGGCGACATGCACCACTTGCTTGGTGCGAAGTGCGGGACTGGGTTCCTTTATAAACCCCCGCTCCTTCTGCTGCCAAACCAGCTCCTCTCGCCGTGCCTCTACACTCTCCTTCTCCCTTATCGCCTCCTGTAGCGCCTCCCTCTGACCTAATAACTTCTGCTCCCTCTGAACCAATAGCCCCCTTAACCTGGTGGCCTCCTCTCCTAACCTGCAGATCCACCCTGTCGCTGCCTCCTGCTGCCTCGTCGTCCACACCGTGTGCCCCCCCCCCAAAATGTTTTTCTTGGGGTTGCCTCTCGGGTCTCCGTCGTCGGCACCGTTGGCGCCGTTTCTCCTCTCCTACCTGGGCATCCTCCTTCATCGCCTTCCGGTAGCGGACGGCCTCCTCCTCCGTGATTCTCCCCCAACCGAGGAGGACATCTACTAACGTAACCTCCTGTTTAATTCCTAGTGTTTGCTCCTGAACACGCTGCTTGGTCCTATTTTGGTGGGATCTTCTGTCACGATCGTTTACGGACGAGAAGGACCAAGGCGCAGCGTGATATGCATTCATATTTATTTACGTACTGAACACACGACAAAACAACAAACGAAACGTGAAGTCCAAGGTAGACAAATAACATACCTCACACGGAACAAGATCCCACAACTAACAGGTGCCAAAAGGCTGCCTAAGTATGGTCCCCAATCAGAGGCAACGAGCAACAGCTGCCTCTGATTGGGAACCACTCAGGCCAACATAGATCTATACATACTAGATCTAACCATAGACAATAAACATAGCACAACACGACACAGAAAATACACACCCTGACTCAACAAATACGAGTCCTAGAGTCAGGGTGTGACAAGTGTTTTATTTTCCATTAATTATTATTATTATTATTATTATTATTTAAAAAACGGTTATAACTCGTTTGTTACACAGTTACAACTCATTTTCTAGTTGTGCTCTTGTTCCTAATGCACTTTAATGATTCACTTTTGAATATGGTTATATGATTATGACATGTGGCTATCTACAGAACATTTCCTGAGCTTTTAAAAGAGTTGTTGTTAATACTGTATACATATGTACAGTAAATGTTTCTGAATATTTTATATAAATTGGTCAACTTTCAATAAATGCCTTATTTTGACCACTTATGGAGAAGTACAATATGTGTTTTTCCAGATCAATTCTAGTGAAAGCCTAAATACTCTAGACTAAAATGTTTAGTTGGTAAATCAAGGAAGTAAAACTCACATGAAATAGTTTTGAAACCCTAATGATTTAAGTATAATGTTGCCTATTATTGTTACTGTAGGTATTCCAAGGACACAACACAGTCTGTTCTTGCCTGCCTCTTGATACATAGTAAGTGAGCAGTAAAAGTTGCATACAGTATGTATCCCAGGCTGTTAATTAGTTTGGCTATGGGTTGGGTTGGCCAGTAATCTAAAGGTTGCTGGTTTGATTCCCCGAGACGACTAGGTGAAAAATCTGCCAATGTGCCCTTGAGCAAGGCACTTAACCCTAATTGCTCCTGTAAGTCGCACTAGATAAGAGCATCTGCTAAAAGACTAAAATGTAAAACATTTAAAATGGTTGTTGGGGGTTTTCCATGATGACCCTGCTCTGACTGGGGACTGGAGGAGGACGGTGGAGGTTTTGATTTGTGTGGCTGTGCCCAGTGTGTGAGAGAGTGGGGTTTTCTTTCCTGAGCTGAGTCACACTCACACACACACACTGTAAGACCTTCTGTTCACCTACACATAGCAGCTATAATGTCATGACTGAGTGGGAGAATGTGGTGTGTGGCTGATTGTGACTTAGTTAAAGCATCATGCCACTTACACTGGTGGGCGATTGTGAAAGTGTTTGTGTGTTAATAGGGGTGGGGTCTTTTTCTCCCATGATGACAACCTGTCCTCTGTTATACCAATGCAGAGGGAGGGAACAGGGACAAGGCTTATGAGTGTCCTCACCCTTCAAAACAAATATTCAAAATGCAGTAAAGAAAAAATAAGTTATTTGACTGTCATCCATTCACTGCCACGGTGAAGACGGTAGAGCGAGACAGAGCTGCTTTCACTTTTCTAACAGCACGATCCATTGTGTCACAGCCAGGGGATTCTGGGGGAACTCAACCACTGAGTAGGGGGGGTTTCCACTGTAGTGGGGAAGTGGAGCGCAACACACAGAGGGAAATATTTACAGTGTTATATTCCATCTCTGTGTGTGTGTGTTCCTGTGGTTCACTGGCAGTGTGTGTCACTGTATCAGTGTTTGGTGGCATTGAGCTCATTGTACGCTAGTCCCTCTCACACATCTGACTAGCTCCTGCTCTCCTTACGCCAGGAGGGATTTACACAAAGCTTCATAGCACAAAACAAAATTAAAGGTAAGAGGAACATTTCCTATACAATCTGACTGTGGCAAATGTCATCATGTACCTGATTTACTGTACATTTTTCTTTTGCTTTATGGCACCATTTGAATTTCTCTGTTATATACCTTATAAACTTTGAACTATTCCTGATAAGGATGAACGTTTTTAAACAGACTGATACTGTAGTAGATTTACCTGTGAATGCTCCACCGTCTGTCTCACTACACCACCCCTTCTCTCCTCCTCTCCCTCCTCTTTTATTTTATCCCCGTCTCCTTCTCTTTCTCTCAGCCCTCTGTGTGTCAGTATGAAGGTGTTTGAGGTGGGTGACTCTGTGAGTCGGTTCAGGCTGGCTGAGTCGTGTGTGGGGCTGGCAGGGTGTCTGTGTGTGGCCTACTCTGTGTGGACCCCTCACTGGCTCAATGACCAGGGACTGTGGACTAATGGCAACAACAGCACCAACACGGACAGTGACCAGACCAGGGGCATTATCTTTAACGGTGAGTCAAGAAGCTGTATTGACCATCAGCATCCATCTGTTTAATACACCCCTGTGTATGGAGGGTGTATTAATGTCAGTGACATTTTTACACAATTTAGTTCATTTAAATCAAGTACGGTAATACCAACTGTTGCTAATCAAGGTTGTTTGTTACTGATCCAACTGCACTAATGATGCTAAAGTAGCAATAATTCAACGTGTGTGACATGTTTTTTTTTAAAGAACATCAAAACACAAACCAATAGAATCCACAACAGCTGAAACATTCTTGCACAAGATACAGGACAGCTGAATGGATCTGGAAAGTACATGACTAATCAACATAAAGAACAATTAACCCAAACATAGAACTGCACAACCAGAAATCCCCAACATAGAAATACACCCAACCAATGAAATTAAACAACCCTGGCTCAAATATCAAGGTCCGTGGAGCCAGAGTGTCACATTACCCCCCCCAAAGGTGCGACCTCCGGGCGCACCAGCATACAGTCTAGGGGAGGGTCTGGGTGGGCGTCTGTCCCTGGTGGCGGCTCTGGCCCAGGTCGTGGTCCCCACCCCACCTTAGTCACTCTCCGCTTCCGTATCCCCCTCCACATGACCACCCCCCAACTAAACCCCACTGGATTAAGGGGCGGCACCGGACTAAGGGGCAGCACCGGACTAAGGGGCAGCCCTGAACTAAGGGGCCGCACCGGGCTAAGGGACAGTACCTGACTAGCTGGCTCTGGCGGATCCTGGCTGGACGGCTCTGGCGGATCCTGGCTGGACGGCTCTGGCGGATCCTGGCTGGACGGCTCTGGCGGATCCTGGCTGGACGGCTCTGGCGGATCCTGGCTGGCGGAAGGCTCTGGCTGATCCTGTCTGGCAGAAGGCTCTGGCTGATCCTGTCTGGCAGAAGGCTCTGGCTGATCCTGTCTGGCAGAAGGCTCTGGCTGATCCTGTCTGGCGGAAGGCTCTGGCTGATCCTGTCTGGCGGAAGGCTCTGGCTGATCCTGTCTGGCGGAAGGCTCTGGCTGCTCCTGTCTGGCGGAAGGCTCTGGCTGCTCCTGTCTGGCGGAAGGCTCTGGCTGATCCTGTCTGGCGGAAGGCTCTGGCTGCTCCTGTCTGGCGGAAGGCTCTGGCTGCTCCTGTCTGGCGGACGGCTCTGAAGGCTCATGGCAGACGGGCGGCTTTGCAGGCTCAGTACCGACGGGCAGCTCCTGCGGCGCTTGGCAGACGGACAGTTCAGACGGCGTTGGGCAGACGGGCAGTTCAGGCGCCGTTGGGCAGACGGGCAGTTCAGACGGCGTTGGGCAGACGGACAGTTCAGGCCCCGTTGGGCAGACGGCAGACTCTGGCCGTCTGAGGCGCATCGTAGGCCTGGTGCGTGGTGCCGGAACAGGAGGTACCGGGCTGAGGACACGCATCTCAGGGCTAGTGCGGGGAGAAGCAACAGGGCATGCTTGGCCCTGGGGACGCACCGTAGGCCTGATGCGTGGTGCCGGAACTGGAGGTACCGGGCTGAGGACACGCATCTCAGGGCTAGTGCGGGAAGCAGCAACAGGGCATGCTTGGCCCTGGGGACGCACATAAGGCCTAGTGCGGAGAGCAGCAACAGGGCATGCTGGACCCTGGGGACGCACATGAGGCCTAGTGCGGAGAGCAGGAACAGGCCGGGCTGGGCTGGCGACGCGCACCGTATCTCTGGTGCGAGAGGCCGGAACAGGCCGGGCCGGGCTGGCGAAGCGCACCGTATCCCTGGTGCGTGGAGTAGGAACAGGCCGGGCTGGGCTGGCGCCGCGCACCGTATCCCTGGTGCGCGTGGCCGGAACAGGCCGGGCTGGGCTGGCGAAGCGCACCGTATCCCTGGTGCGGGGAGTAGGAACAGGCCGGGCTGGGCTGGCGAAGCGCACCGTATCCCTGGTGCGGGGAGTAGGAACAGGCCGGGCTGGGCTGGCGACGCGCACCGTAGGCTTCGTATGAGGCTCAGGAACAGGCCGGGCTGGGCTGGCGACGCGCACCGTACACTTGGTGCGGGTGGCAGGAACAGGCCGAACCGGGCTGGCGACGCGCACCGTACACTTAGTGCGAGGGGCCGGAACAGGCCGTACCGTACGGGGAACACACACTACTGGCTGTACCTCGGGATTAGGAACGGGCCGGACCGGACTGGTTACACACCCCAGTACCTCTCGCCGAGCCTCTACACCTTCCTTCCCTGCTTTACCCAGTAGCCCCCTTAACCTGGTAGCCTCCTGAATCCGTCCCTTCTCTGCCTCCGTCAGCCCCCTTAACCTGGTAGCCTTCTGCATCTGCCTTGTGGCCGCCTCCTGCTGCTCAGTCGCCCAAGCCATGTGCCCCCCCCAAAAAATTTCTTGGGGTTGCCTCTCGTCCTTCCGACGTTGGCTCTGCCGACGGCGTTGCTCCTCTCGCCGTCGCCTCTCCACCGTCTCGCTCCATGGACGGCGATCCATACCCTCCAGGATCTCCTCCCAAGTCCAGGACCCTTTACCGTCCAACAGTTCCTTCCATGTCCAGACCCTTGGCTCCTGGACGCGCTGCTTGGTCCTTTTATGGTGGGTTATTCTGTCACGATCGTCTAAAGGAGCGGACCAATGCGCAGCGTTGCGAGTGAACATGATGACTTTTATTAAATAAAGCACAACACGAGAAAACAACAAATGACGATACGTGAAGTCCTCTGTGACACCGACAGAACATAGAACACTGGAACAGGAACAATAACCCACAATGCCCACAAGAACACATACAGAATAAATATGGCTCCCAATCAGAGATAACGAGCCGACAGCTGACACTCGTTACCTCCGATTGGGAGTCATATGACTAATCAACATAATACAACACTTTGACACCCAACATAGAACCAAACCACATAGACTGCACACACCCTGGCTCAACATAATGAGTCCCAGAACCAGGGTGTGACAATGTGTAAGGAAAAGCTTAACCATGAGTGTTGATAAAATGTTTAGTTACACTTGAGGTTGGCCTTGTGCATTTGGCACTTTGGAGCTTTTCCTCAGAACACAGTGAACATGACTTGAGGAGAAACAGTTGAGCAGTAAGATATGCACCATAGGATTGCAGTGATGTGAACAGGTGTGGACTTGCTTCTGTAGCAATCATCCACATTCTCAGTGAACAGGAGGAGGGGGAGATTGGGGGATGTTCAATGCTTAGGGCTGAAAGAGTTTGTAAAGTAGGGTATATACGCACACATCCCAAATGTATCCAGTGTTGGGCCAAATAAATAGCTGATGTTACAAAAATAAAAAGTTGTATACAGTACATGCTGCTCCCCTGCTTTATTCCTTCAATCACATACTGTATACACACGGCAGCAACTGTGGCAGGCATTTTTTCACTAATCAGCATTTAGGGCTCCAAACCAGTTCCCTGACAGGTTTATTAGGTTAGCTGTTAACTGTGGGTTGTGTCATCTAGGGTGTCTGATTGCATCAACTGGCTCTCACCATTTTTTCTGTTTAGTATGACATCAAAGAGTGAAAGTGTGAGAATGATAGATCAGTAGTCAAACTGACAATACATGCCATTGTGCTTGTATTGACATATCCTGTTATTGACCTCTTCTCTGTGTTGGACTCAGATATAGCATGCAGATGTAGACAGGTTGAAAATGTTGTCACTGTTTACATATTATAACCCCTGTCTGCGTATGTGTGTGTGTCTTCAGCCTTGGAGGCAGAGCAAGTATTTGGGGTGCTGTCGTTCTTCATGGCTGTGAGTTCTGGGGCTCTGTGTCTGGTGTTCGCCCTCTGCTGGACGTCCCAGACGGTGCGCTCCTACTCCAACACCCGCTCTCTACTTATGGCAGGCCAGGCCCTCTACCCCACTGTCCTGCTGCTCCTCATTTTGGGACCCACAGGTCAGTATAGGTCCGGGCCACAGACCTGAAAAGAAGAAAGGGTGCACTGCACGTGTAAAGTATTGGAACAGGAGCTCTAAGTCCATCTCCTGCTGATGTGGCGCCAGGTAGCCTAGCAGTTAGAGAAGCGAGCCAGCAACCGGAGGGTTGCCAGTTCGAATCCAGGGTTCGACTGGAAACATTTGTCAGGAAGTGAGCTGGCAACCGAAATGTTGCTGGGATCAAGTCCTAGATGCCATTGCCTGCCGTTGTGCCCTTGAGCAAGGCACTTAACCCCCACAACAATTGACCAATAACGTGATCTTAATCTTAATGGCTGCAGTTGCGAGTGTAAAATATACAATAGGATCATGTTGAGGGATTTCCTCTCTTATTTCATATATTCTGCAAAGTCCTTATGTCGCTTTTAACAAAATAAACATGTTTTGATTAAAAATATTCCCTTTCCTGTCACTGTTCATGTGAATCAAATCAATTAGCTTTTGTAAAGTGTTTTCACACTGGTATATTTGTAAAGATGTAGGTATTGCCAGTGTTAACATAAACACTCAAGTCAGAATCGTCTGTCTAGACTCCCTACTGATGATGACCTGACTGAACCCTCTCTCTCTCTCTCTGTCTCTCTCTGTCTCTCTTTCTCTCTCTCTCTAGGATTCTTCTTCCTCCTCAGCTGGTCCCTCTTCACCTACCAGCACTGGGTAACGATCAGCGATGACTTCACCTGCCTGGGCTCCTCCTATTGGCTGGGCGCCCTGGGCTGGGCCCTGCTATTGGTTGCTCTGCCCGTGGTCTTCCTGGTGGAGCAGTGTGTGGTCCCGGACATCCTGACGGAACTCACGAAGGCCACCGAGGGGTGGCGGCGCACATCTGAGGTACCGTACGCCAAACGCTCGTTCAGCGAGAGTCGTCAGCATTGTCATGAAGACGAGAGTCATGAAGACGTGGAGAGAGGGCTGAAGATGTACATATCAGTACCCTGAGAGGAGGAATGGAGGACAGAGAATTCAGAGACTGAGCTGACTGCAGGACTGGACAGGACTGGACTGGACTGGACTGGACTGGACAAACAGCTGATGTCCTGTTCACACTAGCAGCACCAGGGAGAGGAGCTTCTAGTGCCTGTCTGGATCAAAGACTGACTGCTCCACTGTAGGAGAATGCTCACAGACACACTCTGAGAATATGTGGTATTAGACAAAAATGTCAATGCTGTGATAGTGTTATTGTCAGTCTTTGTAGTTGTTTGTTGCCTAGCACACATTCAGGAGGTTTTCCTGTTATAAAGGAAATATTTGTGTTACAGTAGCGCCCTCATGTGGTGAGCATTACCAAGGTCTGATGTATAAAAAAATATTTTTGATACAGCTTGGCAGTCGAAAGTATTTAACTTTTTTATGGGGGGTTGTTCAGATGCAAAGTGGGACCACTTCTTGTAGAATTTAGATGAAGTAGGCCTAATGATGTAATTTATTCACAAAATAGTACATTTACAGTTAAACTAATGAACATTCAAAATAGGCCTACGTCTCAATTCAATCTAAATGTGAATTTGAATATCTCCGTAAATTATATAAGTGTGTAATGCATTCTTCAAAATGGATGAATAAATCTCCGCTGTTAATGTATTACTGAATTATTTATTCATCCCTCTTTAACCAGTATCTCCGCCAGACGCCTCATTTATCAAAGGAGCGTGCACACACAAAAAAGACTAAAAAAGCTTGCATGAGCCAGTTTTTCTGCAAAGGTTGGTATTTATCAAGTTTGATCTTGACGGGAAAGTGTGCATATCTCCACGCACAGCTCAGACCATGCATATGCATAACTTCTAGTGGTTGATCAATTGTTTTGCAAGCAAATATTGTACATTTTTTGGGGGAAATTGAGTTGTTTGATGCACAGGAATTATAATAATGGTAGGCTAATAAAAACATTAAAATGTAGGCCTAATTATAAAACAGATTAATTTGCCGTTGGTAAGGAGATTGCATAGCAACATGTAGCCTAATATGTTTATTTTACTTGTATTAAATGCCTAAATCATAATTATATTGCAGGACATACTGGATGTCTATCATTTTCTGACATTACTGATTTATTCTATCTACACATCAAAAATTAGGCTACCATTTATCCAATGGGCATTCAATAGCCAAGCATGCTCGAAAGTAAATAGATGGTAGCCTATTTAAAATATTTGACAGTATGGGTAGGCCACAGTAGGCTAGGCCTGCTGCTGTGCGATAGGAGTGAGACATAGCGTATTTAAACTTAGAGCCATACCAAGGCAGGCGATAGAAACACAATCATCTATTGATAAACAAAATATTGAAATATTGAACAATTAGTATTTTGCTTAGAAGTGTGGGCTGTAGCATGTTTCCTTTTAAATTGTTCTAATAGACAATCAATCTAGCAGAATGAACGGCCAGTGTTTGGCACACTATAGGTGGCATGCATCTTTGGTTAGAAAAAATCCATGCAAAAGATTAAAACATTCTGCCCATACCTCTACAGATATGTGATCAAATTTGCCATTGCGCTTTCTTTTAGAAACTGTCATGGCCCAGTTTCAACATCTCCAAATCCTACAACAAATTAGGGCTTTATGTTACAATAAAAGGGGAATGGAGGGCGTTTTCCAGGCGGGGTTGAAACGCTAGTTCACAAGGCACAAATATAAGTATGATCTCAATTGGATACTTGCCTCCTCTCCTCCGTTCTTTTCCTCGCATCTTTTTCAAAAAGGACAAAGGTAATCAAGGAGCGGAGGCAAGGAGAGGAAATGTGGAAACAAATGCGCTTTTATGGGAGAATCTCAATTGGCTCTCGCCTCCTCTCCTCCGTCCTCTCCTCGCCTATTTTTTGAGAAAGGTCAAAGGTAATCCAGAAGTGGAGGCGCGGAGAGGAAACAGTTAAACAAATGCGCTTGGGTGAAATGAGACTCTCCTTCTCTACTCCTACGTCATCAGGTAAATTATGTTTTTAGGGGTGGAATACCAAAATAAATGTGTAAACTGTTAGTTGTGCAAGAAATTGTATAGATAAAAGGATAAGTAGCGTATCGTTGTATATGCCTTTCTCGGTAACAATTCATTTTAAGGGGTCCTTATTACAGCGTAATTAGGCCTACATGTGTAATTTCACATATGTAATTACGCTTTCCTTCCATTGAAATAAAACATGGCGCCACACATAGCCGGCAATTAGCTGATCAAAACTCAAGTGAACTTTACCACGGTTTTTCACCAAGCTTTTCGCTTCGGACGTTTTTATCTGATCCACCACACATCTGTCTGGTAAGGTTGAACGCCTTCTCTCCTACTCAGTTTACCAAAAAGAGTATTATCCCAAGCGGGTGTGACACCTACTCCCGTTGTCTGCTGCACTGCTGCTTGGATCGCACCCTGCGATCTGCTCCCTGTCTGCCCTGGCCTGTCTCTCGCTGTCTTTTTCAGGTATCCCCGCCATCCACCTCTAGCTCTCCCGAGCTTTCGCTCGCCTCCAGCACACACGCACATACACACACACACACACACCGCAGACTTTGGACTGATATTAATTTTATGTAGGCTAATTCACTTATGAAGCTTATTATGTGAGCTTTACTGAGAAACGCTTTAATTAACTAGTATAGGCCTACTATTTATTTATTTTATCTCAGACTTTTATAGCCTACTGGACTCATAGAGCGCTACTCTCTCAAGTTATTTTGTTGGGGGAGTGACTCTTTGAATTTACAATGGCTAACTCCAAACCATATTTTGTTTTCTTGTGCTTTATGCTATTTGCTCCATGACCTGATAGGTATCAGTCTGGTGTTTTCTGTAATGACCATCCTGTGTTTGTAATGGCTGCTCAGTTAAACAACCTGTCCAGATATGTCATAAACGCTTGCTAAAAAAACTAAAATGAGCAAGCCTTCCTTCATGACCTGGCCTCTGTAAATTGGTATAGAATTAGCTTGATCTCTTACCTTCTTTTTTGATATTTTCAGTGGTATGGTTAACAAGCACGCCCCCATAAAGAAAATTAGAATTAAAAACAGATTCAGCCAGTGGTTCGACCGTGATCTGGCAGAGTTACTCCACCTCAAGAATACCATTTGGCAAAAGGCTCGGCACACAAATACTCAGGCTGGCTGGCTGTCGGGCAAATTAGAAACAAGTGCAGAAGGCCAAAGTTAGTTACTTTAAGGAGCAGTTCTCTCTCTGTGGGTCTAACCCCAAGACGTTCTGGAAAACGTTGAAAGAACTAGAGAATAAATCCACCTCCTCACAGCTGCCCATGTCCCTTAATGTTGATGATGTGGTTGTTACTGACAAGGAATGCATGGCTGAGCTCTTTAATCACCACTTCATTAAGTCAAGATTCATATTTGACTCAGCCATGCCTACTTGCCCCTCCAACATTTCCTCATCTCCCAGCCCTTCTAATGCGACTAGCCCTGATGCTCCTCCCTCTTTTTTTACGCTGCCCCGCTACACAGTTTCTCCCTGCAGGCGGTCACTGAGTCTGAGGTGCTAAATGAGCTCCTTAAACTTGACCCCCAAAAAACCATCTGGGTCAGATGGTTTAGATCCTTTCTTCTTTAAGGTTGCAGCCCCTATCATCGCCTAGCCTATCTCTGACCTTTTCAACCTGTCTCTCCTCTCTGGGGAGGTTCCCATTGCTTGGAAGTCAGCCACGGTGCGTCCATAATTTAAAGGGAGAGATCAAGCTGATCCTAACTGTTATAGGCCAATTTCTATCTTGCCCCGTTTATCAAAAGTGTTGGAAAAACTTGTCAATAATCAACTGACTGGCTTATAGTATTCTCTCTGGTATGCAATCTGGTTTCCGCACAGGTTATGGATGTGTCACTGCAACCTTAAAGGTCCTAAATGATGTCACCATTGCCTTTGATTCTAAGCAATGTTGTGCTGCTATTTATATTGACTTGGCCAAAGCTTTTGATACGGTAGACCATTCCATTCTTGTGGGTCGGCTAAGGAGTATTGTTGTCTCTGAGGGATCTTTGTCCTGGTTTGCTAACTACCTCTCTCAAAGAGTGAAGTGTGAACATCTGCTGTCTCAGCCACTGCCTGTCACCAAGGGAGTACCTCAAGGCTCGATCCGCTGCTGAGCCGTTGTTGCGCCTAGATGTTTCCACTTCACAATAACAGCACTTACAGTTGACCGGGGCAGCTCTAGCAGGGCAGAAATTTGATGAACTGACTTGTTGGAAAGGTGGCATCCTATGAAGGTGCCACGTTGAAAGTCACTGACCTCTTCAGTAAGGCCATTCTACTGCCAATGTTTGTCTATGGAGATTGCATGGGTGTGTGCTCGATTTTATACACCTGTCAGCAACGGGTGTGGCTGAAATAGCCGAATCCACTAATTTGAAGGGGTGTCCACATACTTTTGTATGTATGTGTATATATATATTATGTGTATGTGTATATATATACAGTGGGGAAAAAAAGTATTTAGTCAGCCACCAATTGTGCAAGTTCTCCCACTTAAAAAGATGACAGAGGCCTGTAATTTTCATCATAGGTACACGTCAACTATGACAGACAAAATGAGGAAAACAAATCCAGAAAATCACATTGTAGGATTTTTTATGAATTTATTTGCAAATTATGGTGGAAAATAAGTATTTGGTCAATAACAAAAGTTTCTCAATACTTTGTTATATACCCTCTGTTGTCAATGACACAGGTCAAACGTTTTCTGTAAGTCTTCACAAGGTTTTCACACACTGTTGCTGGTATTTTGGCCCATTCCTCCATGCAGATCTCCTCTAGAGCAGTGATGTTTTGGGGCTGTCGCTGGGCAACACAGACTTTCAACTCCCTCCAAAGATTTTCTATGGGGTTGAGATCTGGAGACTGGCTAGGCCACTCCAGGACCTTGAAATGCTTCTTACGAAGCCACTCCTTCGTTGCCCGGGCGGTGTGTTTGGGATCATTGTCATGCTGAAAGACCCAGCCACGTTTCATCTTCAATGCCCTTGCTGATGGAAGGAGGTTTTCACTCAAAATCACATGATACATGGCCCCATTCATTCTTTCCTTTACACGGATCAGTCGTCCTGGTCCCTTTGCAGAAAAACAGCCCCAAAGCATGATGTTTCCACCCCCATGCTTCACAGTAGGTATGGTGTTCTTTGGATGCAACTCAGCATTCTTTGTCCTCCAAACACGACAAGTTCTATTTTGGTTTCATCTGACCATATGACATATGACATTCTCCCAAT